TATATATATATATATAAATAAAATATATGTACTTATATATATAGCATATATATGAAATGTATGTACACACACTCGCGTGCGCGCGCGCATTTATTATAAATAAAATTGTTAATTAAATAATGCGAATTGAATTGATTTATAGACAAAGGAGAAATATGGAAAGGAATGCAAGATATGTATGCGACCATTTACAGTATTTAGATGGTGCCCTGGAGCAAGAATGAGATTTAAGAAAACTGAAGTCTGTCAGACATGCAGTCGATTGAAGAATGTCTGCCAAACGTGTTTATTGGATTTGGAATATGGTTTGCCTATTCAAGTTCGCGATGCTGCTTTAAAAATTAAGGATGATTTACCACGTTCGGATGTAAATAAGGAATACTATGTACAAAACATAGACAATGAAATTGGAAAAATTGATCCGACAACACCTGCTGGTGCTGTAGGCAAGTCTGCTGCGGCTAGTGATCTGTTGATGAAACTGGCTAGGACGAGTCCTTATTATAAGAGAAACAGGCCACACATTTGCTCATTTTGGGTAAAGGGTGAATGCAAAAGAGGCGAAGAATGTCCTTATCGACATGAGAAACCAACAGATCCTGATGACCCATTGGCAGATCAGAACATAAAAGATCGTTACTATGGCGTCAACGATCCAGTGGCAGATAAACTAATGCGTAGAGCAGCAGCTATGCCTAAGCTAGATCCACCAGAGGATAAATCCATCACAACGTTATACATTGGTAATCTGGGTGACGTATTAACAGAGAAACAGCTGCGCGATCACTTCTATCAATATGGCGAGATTCGCTCAGTGACCATGGTGCCGCGTCAGCAATGTGCCTTCATTCAATATACGCAGAGAAGCGCTGCCGAAGCGGCAGCAGAAAGGACCTTCAATAAATTAATTTTGGGTGGAAGGCGGCTCACTATAAAATGGGGCCGTTCACAGGGAAGGCAGACGGTATCGGCGGCAGAAGCAACGAGAGAGATCCTCGAACCTGTCCCAGGATTACCTGGCGCATTACCACCACCACCACCATCGGAAAGCATGAGTAGCAACTTCTTCAATCTGCAAACTACTCCTGGTATGATGCCGCCAATGATGATTCCACCACCACCAGTTGCTCCTCAGTTTATGTTTCCACCACAAATAGCAACTGCTGCTGCAGCAGCAGCT